GGTCATGGAGAGAGAGAACAAAGGTGAACAACTGTTCAGAACGCCGCGCTGCTAAAAGAAACTCAGATCAATAAATCACAAATGTATACGAATCCCAGAAGGATTCCTCATAGAGGCTTAGACACACACACATGCCGAAAAATCCTAAAACACACCTACATGCTCCTGGGTTCACACATACACATCTAAATGTAAAACAAACAAGAGTAAAGCAAACATGCTGCATAAAAAAGGCACACACACACAAACAGAAAGGCTAAATCAGCCAAACTGCACAGCACCGTTCAGAAAAAGTGACAGTTATATGCAGACTTCAGCAATAAAACGTGATTAATTGTTACACTTTAGTTACCATAATTGGGGAAAAGAAATTAAAAGGAAAACTGCCTTCATCAGGAGAAAACAGCATTTCATTCAGGGCCAACTTATAGTAATTGCCTTCAAAACATAAATCAAGCTCTGCTCCCATAGAGCACGCGCACACTTGCCGGCTGTGGGCATCGATTGGGAGTTGAGCGATAGAACGAGTTTTTGGAGAAATATCCTATTTTCATTTGAAGCCAAAATGAAAAAACAATAGGATCCTGGAGAATTCAGTTTGGCCTCCAATATCACATGCATTAATCACATGTCAGAAATAGCCTGGGTATCAAGATACACTAAGAGCACTGAGACACATGCACACATGCATACACACACAAGTTTTTTTGTTTGTGTGTGTGTGCGTGCGCGCATGCAACATCGTAGTTTCTCAGTCTTTCATCATGCAGTTGGAATGACTGGACGCCTTCTGAACGCCCTGTGAACTGTTGCTTTGCTGTCTTGTTTCTAAACATCAAACACACGTGCAAATGCAAACACACCAAGGAACTCACACATATCAATATGGATATTTACACATTCATTCAAGTGCACATTAAATTTACATGTGTTTGTACACATAAACACACTGGCTTTGCAAATGTGGACTAAAAAAATATGGAGTAGCAAGGGCTGTGGTTTTTGTGATATTCTAGGAGTTATGACTCAAAAGTAATGCATCAATATTACTGATCTGTTCAGTGGGCATTAGCACGTACACATAAAGCCACAAGGTTTCCTTTCATTGTTTGTGCCCTTAGAGAGAAGGGTCATACATTGGGTATGAGGGCTCAACTTGAATGGTTTATAATGAGGATGAAAATGATTAGAATCGTGCTCTGGTCTTATCAGATGTCGACATAATTGAACACCTATGGTAGGATTTGGAGCAATGTGTTAAGACAGACCTCTCCAACACCATTATTACAGCACCAAATATGTTTTGGGAGAACGGTGTTCATCCTTAAAGCAGAGTTGCAGAGACTTGAGGAATCAGTAAACACATACATGTACAGATTTACTTAGAGGAGCAAATTAGCCTTTGCTAATATTGGGGCAGACATTTCCACGTGTTACGTGTTACAGCCAATACTACAGAGAAGCTCTGATGTTGGAGAGCAGTGTGTGTACATACTGCTGAGTAAAGACACGCAGAGGCCTTTTTTTATTCACCGTCTTTGTCACTCATGTTTATGTGTACAGACAAACATACATTCTGAGTCCACGAACCCACACACTTGTCAAAAAGCAGAAAAGATGCTTGGCTGTGAAGGAGTGTTTGTAAATGTAACTGTTGAAGACTGGGCCTGAGTGACCGACACTCACCTCTGATTCCCTTGGACCGAGTGCGAGTTCGCTTATCGTCACCCTCTACGCTCATCTGTGAAGAAAAGGAGAAAGCACGAGCAGAGAGAGCAAAGAAGAGGAGAAGGAGAGGGGGAAAGAAACCATCAGAGGTAATTTCTCAATGCTCTCACTATTTTCCACCACACATCTACAGCTAATTGCACTTGTCTTCCTTCAAAACAACGACTATAATAACCCACGCTCAGGAAGTTCCCATTAAAACACACCAAAGGTAGCTCTGACACAAAGAGATGATCATATCTTTAATTCTCCTTTGCTCGCCCGACCTCACTCACTTAGTATGCTTTAAAAACCTTAAAACCCACTAGGGCCAACATCAGTCTCATTTAGGCTACTATAAGGGCAGCATGGTGTAGAAAGAAAAAACAAACTTGGTTGTTCAAGCTACGTTTTAGCTCCCTCCCCACCCTCACCCCTCACACACCTCTTATCACTCCCCCTGTAATTTCCTGCATCTGAGTGGTGCTCATGATTGTAGTCTGTAGAGAGGCAACAGGCGGTGAACGCAGAGGGGCCATGGCCCCTGTAAGCAAAGGGACTGACAATCATAACTATGCTGAATATAATAATAAAGCAAAAACACACAGGCAGCCAGAAAGCCACTGTAATAACCCTTTTAAGAAGAGGACGTGTGTGTGTGTGTGTGTGTGTGCTGGGTCTGCCACTAACTCCTGGCTCAGCTTTTAAGGCACAAAGGAGCAGGTGTTAACCCTGCTACCTCACACACACACACTGACCACACCTCCTCAGCATTACCTCTCCACACTGAACACTGCTCCCAATGCACTCTAAAGCTATCAGATGCTTTTTAGACACAATGGAGCCATTAGCTTTGATTACTGGACTCTGGGTAGATTTTTTTTTTTAATCGCAGGTCTACCCCTTTTTTTCTCTCACTCTTCCTCCATCCTATGCTCGTCTACCACCCTTTTATCCCCCCGGTTGCCTGTACTCCCCTCTTCATGCCCAGCCACTTAGCTGCTTTGTTGCTTCTCTATAGTCAAGTTGGCAGAGCCACAGTGGGATTCAAACACGGGGTCCCTGTTTCTTGTAGTCTTTTTCTCCTCCTCTCTCTATTTGGCAATGTCCCTTTCCTGCTAATAGACTACTTATGAAAAGAAGGAGGGAAAGAGGGATGAGAGGAGGATGAAACACGCTGTTGTTGTTTTTGTTAAGGGCTTTTCTTTCCCCCTGTCTCCCGAAGAGGGTGCACTTCATTCATTAATGTTTAGTGTTTGGCCGGAGGTACAGGTGCAGGCACAGGCCCCTCCCTTCCTCTGCGAGCATCCACTGCCTTGCCTTGCCCTATGCTCCTCTCTCTCCCTCTCTCTCCCTCACACACACACATGCACGCACACACACAGACTGTCTCTTGCCACTCTGGCTTCAGCTCTTTTGATCAAGCGCTTAGTGTAGAAGTCATGCAACAAGCACCAGCTTTGTGCCCTGCCTGAAGGGAGCAGTTGACTCCTTCTGTGCTCCACTCTCAGTGCTGTGTGGGAAGAGGAGCGGATGAGTGTGCAGTAATGACTTCTCGGTCATGTGTGTATGCTCTTTTAGCCTACACAAGTGCGTGCCTGCCTGCATATAGCTCAAATCCATTTCCTTACACTCAATTGTCTGCACTTGTTAGAATGGAAGCGCAGACATGGAATATAAGAAATAGATTTGCAAGCTGCCTGTACTTCACTTGCATGTTTTGGAGTTGTTGTTTTTGGGGGGGTTTCCTCCTTCTCATTCTGTCTCAAAGAGAATACTGTTCATCTAACCCCACTAGATTTAGAAAAAATGTGGAATGGCTTGTCTAATTTGAAATATTAAGCACAAATTAATATTATCAATAGCAATGAATGTCAAATATTAAAACAGCTAAACAGCTAAACAGCATGTGCTGAGAAAATGTAATAACCAAGTGAGCCCTCAAGCTTAAACATTAAAAACTTTAGCTCAGTATTTTAAATAAAAAAGTAAAAGTAATATCTAAGTGAATCTGAAAATGAATGTAAATATTAGGTAGAAGTAATGGCTAAAGAGATAAAATAGCTAAAAGTTAAGACATATAGTACGATACCTCAAAGAGAAAAGTGGTAGAGCAGAAATATATTTTGCTTATAATAACCAGCTTCTATACTTGTATGAACACAACTTTTTCTTGTTGGTATTTTAGATTTTATTACTGATACAGCATATAACCTTGTAATATTAACACCCATACCTATAATTTAATTAAATAGCTTTCCCAAAGCCCCAACTGTCAAACTAAAATTGTTTATTTATCCACACCCAAGTTTGCTAACATACATGACAAGAAATTGATTTGGCTTGAAAATTGACTGAAAAGATTAATCAGTCATCAAAACAGCTGCAGACTCCTTTTCCTTTGAACAACGAGGCTAATTGAAAAATCAATTCCTCGTTTCAGCTCTTATTGCTACTTTTACTTAACCAACATGATATGATTACTTTTTCTACCAGTGAAGCAGAGTGGCCAGACAGTTTGCAAGGCAGCGATTTGGAGAAAAAATAGAAGACATGAAACACAAAAAGAGCTTTCTAATAAATGTTTAACCTCTAAATCAATTTAGATTTTCAGTTACAAAAGGTAAAGTTATACTTAAATGTGATTAAGAGATTTAGTAGATGCATCAAAGAATCAAAGGCTAACATATGAAAACAGATCTATGTGATCTATGTTTTATGTGACTGGGTTTTACTGGAAAGGAAAGAAGATGTCTGTGAAGATGCGATACAGAATATGTGCATATGAGACTGAACTACACATTCCTCCTTCATGAAAAGATGATATACTATTCTCTTACCCCTGTAGTTCTCCCCCCTCTTTCCTTTCCCTCCTCCCTATATTGATAGGCATTGGATGAATCAAAACCTGGACTGAAAAGGGCTCCCATTGCTTTCATGTTTGTGTAACCATAGCTACGCACATTTAAATAGGTAAGCACATCTGAGCTCTCCCCTCTTTCCTGTCCTTTTTCCCAATTCCAGCTCATTAAATTTGTATGAACACAAAGTCACTGCAAATGAATCCAGATGCAGCCAGGCAAGCATTCACCTGATTTTTATAATCATTTTCAAAAGGTCCTTTTTAAAGGTATGTTCAAAACCTGTCCTTTACCTTGCTTTCTTTTAATTAGACTCCTTGAACATTGCACCTATGTAGGTGGACCTACACAGTACCAGCAATGTCTTATGCACAACAGAGAAAGGCAGAGAATGAAAAAGAAGGAGATAGTGTGTCAGGCTGTGAGTGTGCGGCAATATGCGCGCGTGTGAGATGTGGGGTTTAACTAGTATGAAATGATGAAATGTGGCAGCAGAAGAAGGAGAAAAGAAGAGGTGGAGGAAGAGGAGGAGGAAGGCTCTTCCCTACAGGCTGTGTTATACATTATCAATTATGTCCTTCTTTGTGTGCAGGAGGACCTCAGCTCAGCTCTGCATTCTGACAGCTCTATGTAAATGGCTGGCTGGGGGCAATGACTTCAGAGAGAAGGTCATCCTCTGTCCCCTGGTGCACATAAATGACTCTTTTATTCATTTTCAGGTTTACAAGAGTAGATGAGGAAAGGAGGGGGTTAAGGTGGGGGGTTGCGACACAGGGAGAGGAGTTGGAGGAAAGCGTTTGCAACTGACAGAGAAGACTGACATCTCCAAAAATCACCTGAAGCTGCCAATTAGAGGCGGGCCTACAGTTCCCTCTGCACGGCCTCCATGTTGGACCGTCGCACGTCGAGCCCCTTGACAGCTTCACTTTAATGATTCAGGGAGGAAGGAGCACGCGAGAAGACTGAGCATGTGTGACTGCATAATGGGTCAGCTGCTGTCAAAGGTTTGCCATTTACAGTGTGAGTCATCCTCGAGTGATTTCAAGGTTTGTAACTAAACATCTTTTCGGTGCTAATGCTCAGTCTGTTTCATCTATCTCTACTGCAAGTCAAAAAAGACAATAAGAAGGTATCATAAGTGGCAGAGGCCTCTTCACGTGATGTAGTGTTTGAAAGCAGCACATCTTTCTTCTCCTCCTCTCTGTCACTCCTTCAGTAGCAGAAATCAAACCAAATCAATAAAAGTCATCACTTTAGATGAACCCTTGCCATCAGGGGGGAAGCAAAACTACTTTTACTGGGCCCAGGGGGAAACAACCTCCGCTCCTCTCTCCTTCAAACTCTCTTCCATCTCGTTCCATCTAATTGTCGCTCTCATTTGCAGTGCAAAGAAAAAAACTAAAAGTTGGTCTTAATGATGAAAGTAGAATTCTTAGAATTATGACATTTTCTAGGTATTTCCCCTCAAAGACTAAAACCCAGTTAAGGTAAAAATTATTTCAAAAGCATATTTTTCAAAAGAGCTTCCAAAGCAGAAAATTACTAGGAGCACAAAAAGGGGCTTTAAAGAGACTCGGGAGTTTTTCAAAAGGACAAAACGGCAGCAAGACAAAGTGCTGAGCTGCAGGAGCACCTGGGGTCAAAGCAAATGCAATATCAGTGACTAATGTCCCCTATAACTGATAACATGATCTTATTGAAGGCTTGTGTCAGCATTTCATAAGAAGAACATTATGCCAACAGTCAAACATGGTGGTGGTAGTATGATGCTGTGAGGCTGTTTTGCTGATTCAGAACCGCTGTGATTTGCCATAATTGATAGAACAATGAATTCTGCTCTCTACCAGAAAAGTCTAAAGTCTGCCCTGAAGCTCAAGTACACCTGACTTATGCAGTAGAGCAACAATCCAAAATACACAGCAAGTCCACCTCTGAATGGCTAAAAAAAAAAAGGTTAAGAGGTGGTCAAGTCAAGGTCTGGCCTTAAATCCAATTGAGATTCCTTGGCATCAAAGAAGAGCACTCCAAAATTTCTCCACAGTGGAGTGAAAGACAATTGCCAGTTAGCACAGATGCTTGAGTGCAGTTTTTGCTGTCAAGAGTGGCCCAACCAGTTATTAGGTTTAGGGGCAATCGCTTTTCCACACAGCACCAGGAAGGTTTGGATAGCTTTCTTCCATTAATAAATGAAATCGGGATATAAAAACTGCGATTTGTATTCACTTGTTTGATGATCTAAAATATACGTGCGACAGAGAGAATAAGAAATCGGGAAGGGGGCTCTGAGCAAAATAAGCAATTAATAGCAACAGTTTTGCTTCACATGTGTGGGTCTGTGCTTTTCAGTCACACAGATAGATGCTGCTTTCAAACCAGGCTTTCTAGCTAATAACTTCAACCTCTCGTCCAAATTCATTTACCTCTGGCTCCAGGAAACTACGACTGCAGGTCCAAAACCCATCGGTGATGTCACAGTGGCTATCAGTTTCAAAATGTAAACGTTTTAGTCCCTTCCTTGTTCAGAGTTGCTTTGAGAATGGGAGTCCTTGCCGGAATTTATTTGGGCTGTGTCTGAAAATCTCAGAGAGGACTGTCAGACTGTTGTTTTCAGAATGGAGAAACCTCCTTGAAAGGATGGCAAAGCAGGTCAGAAGTTTTAGACACGGCAGAGCAGGTTAAACAGAAGAAAAGAGGTGTTGGTGGAAGGGAGCATTTTTCTCCTCTGCTGATAAGGCAGAATATGATGCACTTAAAAAAAAGTATGAGCAGCTCAAGGACATCCTTTTGAGTTTCTTTTTTTATTGTGTTTCAATAGGAAAAAAAACCCTGTGAAGTGAACTCAGCAGTAGCAGGAAAACGCTGAGCTGTGCCACGCTGAGCTTAACTAAGCTGAGTGGGGCCGAGGCAAAAGATGGGCAGGGCCAAGCGGGAGATTTGATGTGCTGTTTGATTCATGTTTTTTCTGTCCTGCATGGCTGTCTAAAATACCCTGCACCCTAAGACACACACACACACACACACACACACACACACACACACACACACACACATACATATACACAGCCTGCTTTATTGCCCTCTGCTCCATCTGCCTCCACCCTTTTTGACTTTCCCCTGCTGAGTTGGGGATTGGAGGGAAATGCCCAGGAAGCAGAATCAGATTGGAAAGGGGTGTGGTGGCGAGTGATGAAGCGGGTGGGGATGTACAAGGGGGCTGTGTTGTCACTCACCATGATTGGTCGATGGCTCTGCAGTCTCTGGGAGGCCTGACAGCGGCTGCTGGTCCTCTCGCCTCGTGTCCACCGCTGGTTCACCAGCTCGCCCCGAAACTCATTTTCTGTTGGTAGAAAAGGAAGAAACAAGAGCAAGAGGTGGGGCAAAAGAAAGGGATGGGTTAGGAGAGGGGACAGATTTGGGAGAAAGAAAAAGAAGGGAAAAAGAGAGAGAGTTGTCATGTGAAATCATCAGCGCCAGTAGATGGGCAGTGTGTGGTTAAAGGAAGAGAGAAGAGGGTGGGGGTTTTACTTTGAGGGAAGGTTGGGGCACTCAAGCGTGCTGCAGACGATCCTTTATTAACTAAAGGACAAGTATGTATGCATCTCGTGGGCGCACGCGCACACACACATACACACACACATCGAGGCACAGTTAAGTGCCCCAGCTGGGATCCCTGTCAGTCTACTATTAGAATCAATCAAATTTGTGCATTTTTATCAAGCTTTTCAGGGAGCGTATATATGAAGAAACGGGGTGGTGGTAGTGGTGATGGTGATGGTGCTGGGGAGCAATGTCAGGGGAGAGAGGTTGAAGAATGGCTAGCATATAATGAATCGCACATAAATCAAACCGCTCTTCTTCCTCCCCCCCTCACTCTTTTTTCATCAAGGTAATAGCTCTTCAGTTTATCTTTGTGATGACGGCCTGAGACAAACACAGTATTACAAATCCCTTTGTGCTCATAGCGATGCCAGTGCAGGTGTTAAATACAAAACAGAGACGTAGTTTCAAGATCAGGTGGGGAAATAAAGTGTAGATTTTTCTTTTTTCTGGGAGTGCTCAAGGCTGAACTTTGCAACTCGTGTCGCTTCAGCTCTGTCTCTTTCTCCCACTCGGTTTTCAAGCACTGCTGAGCTGGTACAGTGAAATCTGATCCTTTTTGAGATAGACACACACATATATTTATGTATACATATATATATATAACCTTTAGCTTTCACCTTGGATACACAGAACACTCTGAAAGAGAAAGCGTCCTTCAGCTTAGACTGACTGTATGACCAGGCATTTGGGCCACTCTGTTGAAAATGTAAATGGAAGCTGCAGTGGTGCTTGAGAGCAATCATGCCCAGAACTCAGAATCTGTGGTGGGAATTCAAGATAGAATCTTTTTAAATAACTAATGCAGCTCTTTCAAATATCCTGCAGCAGTCTTCTGAGGCAACAAAACCTAAAGCTCTCTGAACAAATCCTCGGTCTTTGTTGACTACATCCATACCTTTTCATTTCTCTTAAGTTTTTTTATTCTTTATTTCCATGCTTGACTGTCCTGTGCGTGAACCCATGAGTGAGAGTGGCGCACTAAAAGCAGTGAGAGCAATGGTGGACGAGACAACAAAAGGCTGTGTGTCCACATCCAAGGGGTCCTGAAGCAGACCCCTTGAACACCCCCTCCCCTTTCCCAACACACACACACACACACACCCTGACACACCAAAGCTCAGCCATTTACAAAATGCTTGTTTATCAACTTTCACCACCACCCCACCCCAGAGTGAAAAAGTGATTACAGCAGCAATACTTTAGGTCTGCATCTCTATCTCTGTCTCAGCTATCTCCACACAAACACATACACACACAAGTAGGCAAACTCCCATGCCTATTTTGCTTCCTCTCTGGTCTTTCTCCCTCCTTTTAAAGTGAAGTGAAGTGAGCATCCATCCTGTATTGTTAGTTTTGGGGCCAAGGAGCTGAGAGCCCTTCCTAAATGCCAAACATATAACAGCACTCTATTAGGACACATAGCCTGGGGCCGTGTGTCAGCAGCCCCCCGTTCACTCTGCTTAGTCCTGACCTCGTGCTGCAAACACACACACACAGAGAAAATACAGCTGGAACCAAAGCTGAAGCGATTCATCACAGAAAGAGGTGTCAGAATTAACCCTTCTGTGGCATCTTGTGCTAAATTTAGAACAAAAAAAAAGGAAATTAGAAAACTAATTTGAACCTCGCGTGCTCAGGATCTGCTCTCTCTGATTCTTTGATCACATGCTGCTCTTTCTCCACCTAAAAGACTCACAGCTCATTATTTTACAGCAAAAGTTGGAGGAGTATGAGACAATTAGCCATTCACCGGGGACGTTTGGTTAATCAGAATTGAGACGGTAGGTGGGAGTGAATACAAAATGAATGGGTTTTTAGCTTGGGGTTTTTTTGTTATTGAGGGGCAAATTTGCCAGTTATCTGCACAGAAAGCAAATAAATGATAAGAATCAATACCTGATCCAAAAAAGAAAACCTTTTACCTGAAAACAAAGTTTAGGCTCAAGTAATACCATTACAGGACTCCGGCTTACTGTACTGGGACAATAGAGCAAAGAGGTCTAAATCCATAGTTAGATTAAATACCAGGGTGAACTGTCTGTAACAGCATTAGTGTGTGTACAGCGCTGGGGCCAGCTGTACACCCCTGGCCCCCTGTTAAGCAGGATTTAGAGACAACTTAGTGTGATTACAGCAAGCTGAGCAGACGGGAGCGAGAAATCAAAAGTTGTGCACCGGCGGGGTGGTTTCATGTTACTCTGTTGGTTTCTTTGTGTCAAAGCACAAAAGAAAGGAGAGTTTCCAGATTATGAGGCAGGTGTGAAAAGAAAATTTGTGATTTAAAGATCCTAGCTTAAAGGGCAAATTAAACAGGAAAGGTGACTAAAAGAGGGGCAGCTTGCAAGATGCTACTATCAGTTTAGTGATGGGGATTGGATGGAAAGGCAACAGCACCATGGCAACCAGCTTTTAGGAGGGGGGAGCTCCCCTGAGGGTCACCTTGACCTCTGAGAAAATGACACAAACCGCTGCTTCTAAGACTAAACTGAGCCGCACACCTGAAAATCTGTACCTCTCCGTTTTCCAAACACTTCTCCAAGTTGCGCTCCTCTCTCGAAGAATCTGTGCACTTTTGTCTTGCTTTTTAAATTAATTTTCACTTTTCTTTTTTATTTATTTCCCATTTCAATGCAGGGCATGAAATTCATTATTTCCAGCCTTTCAGTTGAAATGCTTCCTCTCTACTGAAAGCCAGGGCCAACCCTGACCTTTGCTTGTATTGCTTAGATTTCTGATAGGCTTTGAATGACGAGGGTGCAATTTGGCCCCAGCTGCTCCTCCAGTGCGTTTATTGCGCTCCCTCCTCCGGCACCTGCTGTCCTCACCATCGCCTATTCAACCCTTCATAAATAGCGAGCTTTCCTCCTATCACAGTAACTACAAACACACACACACACAGGAGCAGGTCATATCAGAGGCTGCTACACGCAGCTCTATACGCTGCTGTAGCAGCATAAGGCACCAATAACCTAATTCGGTAATCCCCCTCCAAAACTAGGCTACATTTCACTGGAAACGTAAACAGAAGAAAAACAATAGGTGTTTTATCTTTTCTGCCTAGGATGCATTACATGTGTGGCTCGGTATTTATTCTACATTAAGCCAAACAATAGGCCTGCGGATGCTTTTTCTATGCATTTAAATGAGCTTTAACCAACTCCAGAGGAAGATTGTAAAAACTATTTTAAAGCCGCAGATATTTAAAAGCAGCGGAGACATTCTGCCGTTTAAAGTCCGCGTTTCCAACGGCGAAAACCAGGAAGCAAAGTAACGCCGAAAGCTTTCCTGACGGGCAGCTCAAGTTTCTTCCACTCTCTTCTGAGGTTACTACTGCTACAGAGGAGTGGGGAGAAACTTAAAGAGCGGGTGACATAACACTCTGTGTATCACCATCATCGGCAGCCCCATCTCTTTCCTCCATCTTAGGACGCGGGTGCTTTGACAAGCCGCGAGGCGCACACATCACGCGGCCATCTAAGCAAGGCAAGAAGGTTGGGTGAGCAAGAGAAGGGAGTGGGGGTGTGAGGGATAAAAAACAAGAAAAAAACAACAACAGCACAGACGCACGGGCTCGCTTTCTGCACCGTGCCACAGTCCGAAAAGATCCAGTGAAACGTGCCACTCGAGGCTCCCCTCCCCGGCGTCTATTTTCAGTGCGCTTCTGAGGACTTTTTTTTTCATCTGCGCACTACTAAAGGCGGCTGACATTTGAAGAGAGCATCTCTGTTTTTTGCTGCAGAGGATCAAATGGTCAACCCCTCCCTCCATCCTTCCCTTTGCCTTTCTCTCTTTCTCGAAATCACCCTCACTCCATCCATCCATCTGTCCACACACAAACACACGCAGGACTCCTGCTGCGCTACCTTTCTAATAATACAAACTCTGCACACATATCTCAATTTACTAGAAAGGGTGGGACGTGGTACAGTAAACGAGCAAATTTATTCCTGGAGACAGGAAGGTGAAACTAGAGGACGGAGCAGAGGATGGAGCATCGTACTGAGTGTGTCTTCTTCAAGCCCCACACTCTGATGATGAACTATTCGACACGGGCAGAGTGGCAGAGAAGTGCACGTATCAACTGAGGTTCCGAGAAAGCGCCATAGTTGGTTTATTCCCACTTATTACACGGCGCCGGTGTAAACACACGCAGCATGGAAGGGGCTAAAATATAGCTTCATCTCCATCCTGAGCGGAAAATACTAATAGCAGCTGACAACGTAAATAAATGGAAAAAAGAAGAAAAAAAATCAGGTCAAACTGTGGGGAGATCGCAGCTGTGGGTAAGTTTTAATCCACACCGGGGAATTGGGAAATATAAAAATGTGACATCAACACTAAACCGGTGCTAAATCGCGCTGTGGGGGGATGCTTTTAAATATCACACAGAATCAAAGTCACGCACAAAAGCTGGGTAATTCCAGATGAATCATCACAAATCTAAACACTCAAAACATTTCTGATTACCTGTATCCGATAATATTTCCTCTGTGGTTTCGGAGCCGCGTTCTCGCTCTCTTTTCAGAGTTGCAGGCCAAGTAGTTTTCTTTAAAGAGACACGATATCCCGAGTAAAAGCTCTATGTGTTTGTTTTTTTCTTGTAAAAAGCAATCGTCTATCCCGTTCCAAACGTTCAGATGTGATAAATAAGAAGAGCGAGCTGAAGGTTGCACCGGCCTCTCCTGCGCAGCGCATCGGCGCACGGCTCCGTATCCGGGCGTTAAGATGTTACTTGTTTGTAAGCAAAAAACATGGCTTCATTTGCCTTTGTCAGCGAGGAGGGGAGAAAAAACGTAATATTGACTTACCTTTCCCTCATGAGCCATTGTACCACCCCCTCCCTCCACCCTTCCCTTCCTCCCTCCATCCATCCCATCCCCTCTCAACTCCCCACCCGCCCCTTTCAACTCCTCCCTCCGCCCTTTGCCATGACATCACGGAAGCTGTAGTAAAACCTCCAGCATCAGATGGGCAGGGCTTGAAGTCCCCTCTTACTACACACTAACTCAATGGGCATATGTGCACACACACACACAAACACACACCCCTCCCTGACTTTCGTCCTTCCTCTCTCCTTAGCATCTCTCAGGCCAGCGAAACGTACAACTTTAAACCAGATTTGACTCTAACTGCGCGCCATTTCCCACATATGAAAATAAAGTTTCCATTTCTCCAAACATCCCATAAACACCATTATCAGCGTGTAATCGTTGGTGAAGCATCTCTACGCCTCTGGGCTCCAACACAATATTAGACACCAGAATTAGCTCATGTTTTATACATTTCACCCGCTGACAAGTTCTTGATGTCCCCCAAAAGCATTACTGTAATCCTTCACCACCCCCAACGCACCCCGGAAAGTGGTACCGTCCAATAATTCATTCAGGGGGACTTTTTTTTTTTTTTTTTTTTAAAAAATATATTTCAAAACTTATTTCAAAGCCTCTTAATTTTTCAGGTTGTTATGACTCTATGTTAGCTTTTTTTTTTTTTTTTTTCAGTCGAGGACCGTGAATTGATGTAGTAGCAGAGTCTGGATATGCGCGCAGCGCTGACAGCATCTGATAACTCCTCCGTATGGGAAGAAGGGGGTGGGGGTTAACGACATATAGGCAAAGAGGGGGATTATATGTCTCCCCCGAGCATAAAAAATATTTATGCTCAGGGGAGGCGACGAAAGGACTGAAGTGCGATATTGGTTTGAATAAAAAGAGAAGCAGGAGTTTACTAAGACAACTAATCACTCTCACTTCCTGATCTGCTCATCGTTTTTAGGCTGACCGCCGCAGCTCCGAACAACAAACAGCCGGTCTTAACAGAGCAACTTGGAGTCACTCCCAAATGTTGCTCACATCATGCTTTTTGCTTTGCCGTTTTGAAACCATTAGTGGAAATGACAACCATTCATTACAAGCCATTTGAGAATAGTCCCCACAAATGCCATCCTTTATCTGCTGTCTCCACGCCGCGCACGTAGGGAATATTCAAAAAGCCCAACCTTCAGCTTTCAGAAATTCTATTAAATTCTTATCTCTTTGCAGCAGGCTCTTTTTGTGAAATCCCATTGTTATGCATTGGAGCTGAAATCAATCACCGGCCGTGCACGCCGCCATCAGTATGATTTCAGACAGTGGTGTGCAGAAACAGACACGCAGAGAGAGAGAAGGGATTCACAACAACGCCATCGACAACCCAATAAACAAAAGAGAGGGGGGGGGGAATAGGAAATATCCCGGGCCATGATCCAGCACATGGTGGACCGGTGTCGCAAAGTTGAGGCCTGTAGGTCAGGTGTGAACTAGAGACACACGGAGGGTTTCTGGCGGTAAAAGAGAAGAGAGAAAAGGCCTCAAATCACAATCGCTCGCTGCTATCAGCACTGCGGACAGCTCCAAAGTGCTGCTCCAGAGATTCTGTGCGTGTTCAGAACCGTGGACAGCTCTGGCAAACAATATCTACTACAGCTCATTGTTGAGGAAACAAAAGCGTTTGTCTGCCCACTGTTGACACTAACTATCTACCATCAGCTAACTTTAATGGCATCAAACAAATGTCCTATTTTTAAAATGATAATATTTCACCTTTAAAAATAGGGAATATTGCTCCATTTGTCCCAATAATCGATAACGTTGCTTCAAACTTGTCAGTTTTTCACATTTTATTTTAAAAGGTAAATCTTATGGTTTCAAGTAAAATCATTTTACACTAATAATATGAATGCTTACATGTAAACTTTATTCAATACTGTTGAACACACTGTCACAAGAGTACCAAGTGGGTGGGTTTTTGTTGTTGGTGTTTTTTTTACTGTTGTGGCTTTTATTTTGAAGGATAAAACTTGAACCATATTTGCCTTCGTTATAAACTAATACAGACAAAACGGAATGCCAAATCTATGAAAATGAATATCCAAAACTAATGTTTATTCCATTTAAAGGTCTAAAAACTTTATCATATCACCACTGCATTTTATTTATTTTTTTGAACGGAAACGTTGACAAAATAAAGTACAATCATTTCATCCTTAATATAAACTGAAATAAACAAAGCAGAATGCAGCTTTTATAAGTCCAAGCAACTGAAAATTAAACTGTCTTTAATTTAAATATCTAATGACTCGTATTTATAGTCAATCTATTTACGTTTTTACGTTGAAAACATATATAAATATATATAAAACTATTTTCCATACTCACCCCAAACTGACCCCCCACAAATAAATAAATAAATAAATATCACTTTCATGAATGGACAGATCTAAACCTATTTAATGTATACGTTTGAAAACTTTACAATATCAAGCCATTCACTTGTTCTTGCCTTTTATTTTGAAGGGTAAGACACGGGTAAACTCACCTCATTCGGAAAGAAAAAGTAAAATACACCGTGTCACTTTGTATAAGCCTATGTTGGCACAGTTTAACATTTGTAATCGGTCGCCCCTTGTGGCTATTATTTTGAAGAAATGAAAACTGAAAACAAAAACTTTCTTCTGAAGGCTGAGTGTGAGTAATCGAGCAGCCGGTGCACGAGCTGGGAAAACTTGTTCCTCTGTTGTTCTAAAGTCTGTCTGCAGATGCAGATGGCAGAGGCCTGCAGCACTATAGCTCTTGTATGGTGGCTATATTGTGCGGAGTGCAGGCAGCCAGTATAAATATTACATGGGGGCAGCAGCTGAGTGAGCGCTTAGGATGGGACCGGGGGAGGCCCCTATAGTCCCTCGACAGATGGAACAAGCCGACAGACTAAACACACACACACACACACACACACACACTCCGAGAGAGAGAAAGAAAAAAAAACTTTTTAATAAGCCCGCAGCTTTGGCAGTGTCCCCATGGTACCGGGGCCACACGGTCCCCCAGGGACCAACTGTCCTTTGTCTGGCCAGTTTTTATCTGGAGGCTGGAGTTTATCTCTGCTGTGTGCTCAGAACTCAAGTTTACATTTCTTAAGTTTATTTCGAAATGCTTGCATGCGATGAGTTTGCCCCGTGAAGTTTTAAAGTTACAACTGGTGTAACCAGACATAGCTGTAAGCGTCTTTTAATTCAGTACAGCGATGGTCACAATGTCTCGAAAGGGATTTTTTTTTTTTTTTAATTTTCTATTTATTTATTTCTTGGACGCTAACAGAGCTGCTGCAACTTTTTAAAACAAAGTTCCGGAGCGTGTCTGTTGACTGTCTGTTTATATCTGCGTCAGCACAATGATTCTAAAGAGAGATGGAGATGCCGAGACACAAAGTTTAAACACCAAGTTTCAAAGTTGCTCCTCTACAGTTTAAAAAAGTGAGCGATACGAACCTAGAAAAGTGCGGCACAGCTTCATCTCCGCGGTGCTCCTTCTCTCGGTCCCTCTGAAAAGTCCCGCAGCGGCCGTCAAGAGCTGCTGGCAAGTTTACTTCAGCCTAACAAAGTTGCTCAAACTTTACTTCAACTTCCCGACGAAGTGACGAGGGGCGGTGACAGACCACTGACCGACACGCGCGGGAGCCAATAGGAAGGAGGGCTGCCCTCCTGCTGCCAAGAGCTGGAGCCTATCCCGCCCCTTCAGTGTCAGCTTTCAACAACAATAGCCCGAACAACAGCAACAAAGAGCATCTGCTGCGCCGGGCAACTTTTCACACTCACGCTCCCCCAGCGATCTGACTGAATGCACATAAACTCTCATCTGCTTCATTTACATCAACCTGCACATGCTGCTGCACTGAAAACTTCCACAGACATCAAACATAGATTCAAACGTGTTGCACAAAGAGCTTCGCGGGATTAGATCAAAAATATCTCACAAGTCCACCACAAACTCGTGGACAACTGCATGGACACGTAATGAAGCAGAACTGAGCTGCAGAATGATGAATCTAGCTGTAAACAAACATTGAATTAAAGCAAGGTATATTTTTTTCTACATTCTGCTTATGTTAGCAACATCTCTTTTCTTTTCTCTACTTTTTTTTTTTTTTAAAACATGATTGGTCAGTTTCCACCAGCCTCCCTCATCACGTGTGACCAAATGTACCAGATGTACAGCTAATTTAGGGAAGTTAGAGGACCATTTTCACTGGAACTCCAGGCCTATTCAGAGCGTCTGTGTCTGGGACAGACAGACAGTTCCTCCCTCCCAATAGCAGATGGTCTGCCAGATAATGAGCTCTCCCATTGCTTGCTCCCAATACCCCCATCCCCATCTCTCCAAGATGTAATGGGGGTAAAGCAACCTCAACACATTCTACAGCCTTTTCATGTACATTTAATGTTCTGATTGCTTATTGCTATTGTTTGTTGAAGAGAGTTGCACATTGCCAAACAATATCCTCTCCTTTCATGGAGGCGTGTGCTTGTCTACACTTTAAAAATTTGTAGTGTTAATGTAAAACCAGCTCATCTCAGATTAGCCTCCCTTCATCCTCTACAGTTTAAATAAATGAATCACTGCTCACTAATAAATGCACTGAAACAAAACAAACTACACTAAACAAACTCTTAATCTAAATTAAATATTTTTTTAAACACAAATACACTATGTAGCTTACATATTGTATTTTTTTATATTGACAATATTTGTTGCTAAACTAAATTATAAAAAAAAATAAACTAAACTAAAAATACTCCACTTAATTATTTTTCACAAGCCTGAGATAAAGCTGAACTCAGATACATTTTTACTCAATTGAAGTGAATTAAACTAAATTTCATTATCCTTAACTAGAGTATAAGCTTCGCTAGCAAATAACTATATGTTACTAGAGTAAGCTAAAAGACAAACTCAAGCAAAACCAAAAAAAACCCCACATTTGCTTGACTCACTTCTAAACTTGAATGGTCACAATAAATAAACTAAACTACACTGAATTCAACTTTCCCTTTCTGTGTAAGCACAGTAGATGTAAGTGACTAAACCAAGCTAAACTACCTGTATACATTATTAGAAGAATCAATGCTGCTAAATTAAACAAAAATAAAAAGAACTTGGATGACTTGGAAAAACTTTTAAAATCCCCCCAAACTAAACTAAGCTGTGACAGCACAATAAATTAACACAGTCTGACTACAGTCAAATTTCCAGTCTTCATCATTTAAAAAGGAATTATTAGAACAAGTCAATAATTGTTTCACCAAGCTGGAAAATAGAAAATGAAAGACAAAATGAAAGAAAACAAAACTAAATTCACAAAACTCGCTCCTAGCCTGTTTGTACTGTAACAAATCTGCACAAAATGCATTCCTCTTGACCCAAAGAAAAATCCCTTAACTTGCTTCATAAAGCCTGAATTTTCAACACTGAAGACTAAAGATATTCAAATAAAACGTAACTGAATTAAAAAACAAACAGACAAATCTGAACAGCTAACAACAACTGTGTACACTAAACTCAACTCAACCTGTGTCAACCAAAACTAAACTCCAACAGATTAAATTAAATGAAGCTAAACTAAACATAACTGAAACAGCTGCTGCAAATGCCCTTAAACAGACTGTTGGAGGCTTATTTAAATGGGGTTGCAGAGGGACTGTAACCTGTTCCAGCTGACATAAGGTAAAAGGTGTGGTACAAGCTCTACATGCTGCCACGGGGCTTAAACTAAACTAAACTAAACTAAACTAAACTAAAAAATTACTTAAAACTAAGAAGTCCAACTAGATCAAATAAAACAAAATCAACTTAAACCGCTTATTTGAGCCCAAACTTTGATTACTGAACTAAACATTGAATGAAATGAAACTGACTAGATGAATTTTAGTTTTAGCCGTGCGCATCTGAGCTAAACTTACTTGAATGTGCACGGAAGTGTGGTTCTAAATGCTGTCAACAAATATCTGACCGATACACAGCCTTTAACTGAAGCATAGTTTTCATGTTTATTCTTATCATCGAGTAAACAACAAAGCTAACCATATCTAAACATTAAACTGAAACTAATGCTCCTAAAAAGTTGGATGTGGTTTTCTAGTTTACACATCTGCTCTCCACATCCCTTCACTCTCCATCTCTTTGCTTTTATGGCTCCAAAAAACGAAAGAAACACATCTATAATGAATTCCCTGCATATTAAAGTGGCTTTTGGTGTGCGTGGACAAAGAACGTGTCGCCGTTAAGGAGGACTGCTGGGTTTCCACTAATGCCTCTGCAAGTTTTTTTTATCTGGCCATGCCAGACAGCCTCTTGTATTCTTCCTAAGCACGGTGCTCTCATTAGCCCATTAACTTCACTATTCACCCCCCTTCACCCTTCTGTTCCACTACCCAGATAGGACTAAACACGCACAGACACACTCACGTACACACAGAGACACACACACACACACACAAACACTACACATTCACAGGCATATGCAAACGCACACAAATGAATGCGAACACTCCTCCCCACACCATACCACCCCACCCCCAACCCTCTCTCCTCTCATTCTCTGCTCTGTATAACAAGCAGCTGAACTCTGACATAGCCTCCAGCTGTCCTAGAGACACCAGTGACAATAAAGTTTAAACAAATACACACAGAAACACACACAGGGACGAGCAGGAAACAGAACATTGTTGAGAAAATGACTCCCGTGAGTTAATTAATGGAAATTTCACTCCATCTTCATCATCATCGTTATTCAAAAGTCCTCTTAAATGTTCACTCCTACCCTTTCATTATCATTATTCAGCATCTCGATTTGGAACAACTTTGGGCTGCGCTGGTGGAAAGACGTAAGGGTCAGTGCTCCACTGGAAGGGAAAAAGTTTTTCTCTTTGATAAATGAGCAAATTTGTGTTTGAACTAACAAATGATGTGAACGATGTGAATAATTTGTTAAGGAAAATAAAGAGCTTTATTTCTTTTTTAAAAAAATAGCAACTAGACGCACGCTCACTTTGACACAGAAACACATCCTGGTTTCGTGCACAGATGGACACCAGAGTCCACTCTTGTGACAACAATCAGATTCATAACATGACGACTTTATTTTCCTACATGCCCCCTCCCTCCAACCCCTCTCTTACTGTCATACCCCCAACCTTGCTTCTTCTTTCTCTCTAACATGCATGCATCTTTATCATACCCATATATGTCAGCTTTAATTAGATACAGATAAGCCACTAGTGCTTGGGTTTCTGAGAAATCCATGATTTTAAATGTCCACCCAGCAGTGTTTTGCTAAAGGACCGCTTCAATTTTTTCAGGCTGGTCTAAAATAATAACACACCCATACTGAAATATCTTCTGATAGACATGACTTCAAATTTTTTAATGAAATAAGAAGGCTGCAAATAATGAGTATTTGCATTGTTAATTAATCTGCAGATTAACTAAATAAAATCATCCAGTCAGATATCTTCTGCTGCTTGTAGGAAAGCAAAGATTTGCTATCTTTCAGCTAAAACCATAACCCCCCGCCCCTAAAAGCACTGAGAGAAAGGGTTAAGATGATGTTCGTCATGGAGAAGATCACAGCAGGACTTTATCTGAAAACAGAATTGCTGATGGAGAAATGGGCACTACATGTACAGGCTGTGCAAGAACTCCGCATCTAAGATGTAAAGACCCCCACTTTGTTTTGTTAAATGTTAAACAGACTGAGGGAAAATAAAGTAGAAATCCAAGGTGATGTCTTTGAAAGCAGGGTTTTGGTATTCTTCACAGCTTTTGAAGACTGAACTATAGATCAATCAAAATAGTAAATATGGTTTGATTTCCCTTAATAGTTTCAGGTCTGCTTTAAGTAGTTTCCTTTTTGTGTTTCCCCATTATTTGTTCCTGCTGAGCAAAAGAAAAGCTGATACAAACAGAGAGCCATGTTACTTTTGCCTAAACTATCTCATGTATTTTTGGTGACATGAGGACTATGTCCAACATCACTTACAATGGAAGTGCGTATCATGACAGCTAAGCCTTAGCAATTCAACTGGTGGATAAAATCAAATCATAGTTGCCATTAGACTAGCGTATAGTGTAAAATCTTATAGACGTTAGACTGCTTCTGAATTTCCTTGTTTTTATGTATTGTGGATATGTGACAAAGTGATATAAATGCACAAACAGTCTTAAAATGTTCACATTTTGAAACAGTTAGCATTCCCATGGTTCTCAGGTGTAAGCAAGTAAAGTTTATTTATTAAACACATGTCACAGACAAACATTTAGAAAGCGCTGTACACAAAAAGAGTAAAATAAAAAGACCATTATGTGCCATAATAGCCCATGATAAGATACAAGTCACAATATAATAAACTACATAAAGATATGCTGCCAATTCCCAGCTCCATACATTTATTTTTTAACACTGTTGAGGTAACTTTGAATGAGCCATAGTTCGGAACAATCCTTATTGCAGGCTTTCAGTTCAACCTCTGACTGGAACACTGTACCCCTCTCTGTAATCCACCTTACCTCTGATTGGCTGTCCCTCCTAATCGGAACATGTC